TGAAGAAGAAAGAAGATGACGATGATGAAGATGATGATGGTGATGAAGATGACGACGACGATGATGAAGATGATGATGATGAAGACTATGACGAAGTATTAGTGTGTGGATAATTGCAGTCAATATTCAATTCATAAGCAAACAAACTTATCAATATTATGAAGAGTTTTGTTTGCAATGTTGTACGTGTTACATGGGCGGACATGTATGTATGTATGTATGTATGCATGTATTTGTGTATGTATGTTTGTATGTATGTATGCATGTATATATGTATGTATGCATGTATGTATGTATGTATGTATACATGTATCTCTGTTTGTGTACGTCTGTGCGTATGTATATTTGGAAGAGTGTATATTAAACTAAATACAAACATACATATATTCATATATAGACATACAATTATTGTATATCTGTTATATACTATATATATAGAGAGAAAGAGAGAAAGAGAGAGAGAGAGAAAGTATATAGAGGTTATATATATAAATATATATATATACGTGCCAGTTGAGTTGAGGGCGGAATAATAAAATTATTATTATTTATCATATATTTTTAAATATAATATATATATATATATATATATATATATATATATATTACTTAAACTATTATTATGATATTTTTTGTTATAATTATTATTGTTGTTAATAATATTTTTATAATTATGAAATGTGGCAATAAATTTATAACCATTACCTCCATACTAAATCAGATGTGAAATTGATTATAGCTTATGTATGTATGTATGTATGCATGTGTGTATGTATGTATGTATGTATGTATGTATGTATGTATGTATGTATGTATGTATGTATGTATGTATGTATGTATGTATGTATGTATGTATGTATGTATGTATGTATGTATGTATGTATGTATGTATGTATGTATGTATGTATGTATGTATGTATGTATGTATGTATGTATGTATGTATGTATGTATGTATGTATGTATGTATGTATGTATGTATGTATGTATGTATGTATGTATGTATGTATGTATGTATGTATGTATGTATGTATGTATGTATGCATGTATGTATGTATGTATGAATGAATTATTTATACATGCACGTATGTATGTATGTATGTATGTATGTATGTATGTATGTATGTATGTATGTATGTATGTATGTATGTATGTATGTATGTT